GTTTATGTTCTTGTGCAGATTTCTTCTCATGAACTTCTTTCTTGTTCCAGTTGTCGTGGCCTCTGAAAAACGAAGAGAGCAACGTTCAACTATCAAACAAGAACTAAACTCACTCACCCGTAATTGGGATTCTTGTGGTGTTTATAGCCATCATGACTTTCTGGATAACTGCCATGCTTTTTCTCTCCATAGTGGCGTGATTTCAAGTCCAATTCCGAGTTCTCACCGGCATCGTGTTGGTCTCCTTTGCCATGGTGTTTTGTCGCTGCAAAATATTTCTTTCCTCCATCTTGTTTCTTCACCAATTCTGCATTGTCCGCTTCCCTATCCGAGTTTCTGTTAAAGTGGTCCTTCGCTTTATGAAGTTGTTTCTCATTGTTATAACCGTCACTGGAAAGACCAGGGAAAATATAAACGTGCAAACTTACTGGCAGACAGACGCACACCTACCGGTATCGCTCATTCACTACATCTGAACCATCTTTTTCGTTTTCATTCTCAACCAAATGTGACTTCTTCTTCTGTACCTCGGATTTTGGTACGTCGTGTCTGCTTGAACTATGATAAGCGTGTTCTGGAGCTCCGCGCTTCACTCGCTCATCTCGATGTTCATTCCCGTAGTCGTTACTGTCGCTGGAGTCACTGTCGCTGCCTTTACCCGCATGTTTACGTGGATGACGGTTGTATTTATCATCTCGACTTTCACTCCCGTAGCCGTTACTGTCGCTGGAGTCACTGTCGCTGCCTTTACCCGCATGTTTACGTGGATGACGGTTGTATTTATCATCTCGACTTTCACTCCCGTAGCCGTTACTGTCGCTGGAGTCACTGTCGCTGCCTTTACCCGCATATCTATGTGGCTGATGGTTTCGTTTCTCTTCCAACTCTGAATCAGCCTCTTTATGCTTTTGTAATGCATGATCTCGATTCTCTTTGTTTAGCTCGTGCTTCTTGCCGGTCGAGTCTTCGTAGAGAGCGTTCAGTTTAGCTTGTTTCGTGTGCGAGTCTTCATCATCAACGTTGTGACTTTTACTGTGCTTAAGGTGGTAGTCCCCTCCTTGGTTATAAGCAAGCTGGTGAGGATTGGCATCAATTGTCGAAAACACGTACGCCCATACGAATACCACCAACGATAACATGTAAACTATTTGCTTTGCCATCTCTGCTTGTACAAGTCGATTCGAAGGATGAGAAGTGCGTTCCCTTTACGAAAGCTGAGTATTTATACTCTTTCTTTTCCATGATTATCAGACACGCGTGCCAAATCAAAAGAAAATAAATGAGAACACATGTTGAATAGATGTCGAATCAATTTCCATTTCATCAGATTATACTTAGAACGATAATAATAAGAGATGGATTGTGATGGTTCTACAAGTTTTCAGTAGCAAAAGAGAAATGAACATAAATAAGCACTAGACTGACTCTTCTATAATGCATTCGAGAAACGTCTCCAACAAATTTTCGTTGGTTTAGACGAAACCAAGATTTGCCTAGAGCATCCAATAGTGACTGGCTACCTAGTCTAATATCGATAACAATGATAGAAAACCTAGATTATCGACTACGCTAAACCCTATCGCAATGTTTATTCCAAAATCTACTTTAACGTTTTCAGAAACACACAATTTCTCTGGCGTCGTCATTAAATCTTGGTGGAAAAGTAACTGTATCAACAATTCTTTCATTGGTTAGTGTGAAACGTTTGTTGGAGAAGTTGTAGTAGAAGGCTTGTATGAAGAGTTAGGAAACGGCAATACAGCTTGGTAACACTGGTGCCGGAGACCCGGCTGGATTTTAACAACATCGAATCCAGTAAACAAAAAAATCCGACCAAGTACCAAACAACAGCCAAGTAGTACAATCCAATACATGATTGATTATATGGATCAACGGTATACCAGCAGATAGATTGAATATTGGAAAAGGAAGTTTCTCTAGTGTATAGAGTTATTCGTACGAACAGTACTTGGGAGCGAGTTTGCTCATTCTTAACCCGCGGGGGGCCCTCACACGTAAACAAGCAAGTGATATTTATATAGGTTAGTGGGTTGAGGAAAATATATGAGAAGAATCAAAAACCTGAACGACAGAGGTGGTGGCGGGTGTGGGCTTCGGAACACCATTGAAGAAATGAGAGTGCTAATTTTAGAAATTGAATGTCGCATTAACCGTTCGAGTTGCAGAAATGCAGCCTGCGCCAAAAGTTCCAGAATAAAATGTACTTTTTACACATATAAACGTCCACGAGGCGAAGCAGTACCAATTCAAAAGAAATTGTTAAA